TAAAATTTCAGGATGTCCAACAAATATCTCAAAGGTGACACCCATTGGTCAGGGCCAGAGCCATGTGGTCTGAAATGGGGGAAGAGCTTGCTCCAAAGCTAAGCTAGAGGGGGGGCCCTGAAGAAGGAAGTAAATACTTGGCAGCCAGAATCTTGGGGGTTTATACTGGTCACCCCATGCAGGAGCGATTACAAGGGGGGAGTAGGTATATGTTGGTTTCTCATCTTTGATCTTATCCCCCATAAGAACTGGAGTCTAGAATCTGGCAGCCCATTTCTTACGGTATAGACGGAAAACAGGTCCGGAAGGCCAAGATACTGGCTGAAGTTTGCACAGCCTATTTGACCAGAGCCAGAAGTAGCACAGAACCTTTATGTCCACCCAAGGTAGGGATAATACAGTCATGGCTGCATGTCGCACAATTCTGCCTAACCAGCCCCATAGTCTGACGAGGGTGGCAGATACCATTGCAAATCCCACATGTCAGCGTGCCCAGATACCATTGCAAATCCCACATGTCAGCGTGCCCACAGAAACTACCATCAGGAATTACAAGGTATCAGGACTGCAGGTTTCCCTAACTGGGAAACCCAAGTTCAGAGGTACCACAGACTATGACTGGGGCTTGGGGTAGGCCAATGAGGGGTGCAAGGGAAAAGGGTCCCACCTATCCAGACCATAGGGCCACGGCTTCTGCTGAGGGGGGCGAGTAGAACCTGAACCATGGATACAAGAGAGGGCAAGGGGCAGAAGGGCCAGAGGGGCCCAACGGGCTCCAGCAGGCTGTGGACACTTGGCCAGGAAGGCCTGTTTACTGAGAGGCCCAGGAGGTCAAGGCCCGAGCCCAGAGTTAATCATTAATGGCTCACCCTGCTTGTGGCTGCCTGGTGTGGTCTGGACCAGGCCCCAGGACACAAGTACTGCCCCACTGCCACCATGCATGTGTGTGGCGGGTGGGGGAGGTACCCATGTGTTTTTGAAGACACTGGCTTTCTGAAGTACCCAAGGCTTAGGACAGGCCTGTAGCAGGGTCCCGGGGCACCGAAGACTGCTTTTCACCAGTGGCTATCTGGAGCCTCACACCTTAGACCCTGGCCAGGAGGGGATTATACCAAGGCAAGGGGTCAAAGTGAAGCCTGTTTGACTGAAACAGGCTTGTGGCAGGATGCTGAGCTGAGGGTGGGGGGGAACCAGGGTCTAAAAACTCCATGCCCTGGAGCCGCCCATGGGCCTGTGGCCTGTGCTGACCCTGGGGGGAGAGGGCCCGTCCTTTTCCAGGAAGCAGGTGCTAGCAATAGCGGTGGTGGCGTGGCGGGCGTTAGCAACTTTATCAGGACAAACCCTTGCTCCCTGGCCCAAGCT